TATTTGCTTCGAAGTTTTCTTTCATTTTCATTTTTGGAAATTATTTGATAACCAAGGTTGTTAATTTTTGAAATGATACCTAGAGGGTGATACAATTGTTTTCTTAGGAAATCAACTTCTCTTCATCTGGACACTGTGAAATGATGAATTAAACTGTTAGAGAATGTGGTTATAATGTTTTAACACTGCTTTTAGTTCATTGCATATATTTGCCTTTGAAAACAATAATCGGAATAACTTACTATTTGGGAAAAGAAAAACAGACTTATACATTCTGCTCATCCTGGAAGTTCTTTGGGGACCAACCAAGTGCTTTGGGACCTCCTTTTAGGGCAAGGTCATAAAGTCTTGTCAGCCCTGGGAAAGAAGCTGCTTAAAGAAGAGATTGTCTAATTCTGAAGTAATGAAGTGCTTTACTGAGTCATTAAGACCTCTAAGAGCCAAAGTCAAGTTGAGGGAGGGGAAACTTACAAGTTTCTTTATCATGTACAAGTTTTATGAGAATGTATTTGGCCACTGGTTATGAAACTGATGAAATTCCACCTAGAGTAATATGTTTGGCAGTTATATCTTTGCCCCAGCTCTGACTTAACAGATTCCAGCTTGGATTCAAAGTGTTGCCCCTTCCTTGTGTAGAATTAATATTATTAGATCTTAGAATGCAGAAAATAAGAAAATGGCTCCAATCCCCATGACTGGGGACTCCCTCATGGCAATTCAACAAGCACTGATTATGTGTTAAGTGCTGGGGTGCAAAGCAAGGTGAAACAGCTCCTGCCCTCAAGGAGCTCACATTCCAAAGGGTTTTGGTCAAGTAATTAAGTCAACAAGCTTGTTTCCTTGTTTCCTACATACAAGGTAAATTGCAGGAAATCAAACAGAGACAGTGGACCAAGGAAGGCTTCTTCAAGTAAGCCAGGAAACAATGAGGCTAAGACAAGGAGGGACAGCTTTCAAGGCATGGTGGGGAGGGGCAGTGGTGGAAACTTTGAAAATGCAGAGTCAGTGGGGTCATGGCCATGAGGGCAGAGTAAAGGCAGGGACTTGCCTGAACTCTCCCCTAAACCCTTACAAATACATCTAAAAAAATTACTCTAAACAAATACTAGAGTAGCAGAACCTTCAAAAAGAGAGTGAAAAAGATTATAGCCCAAGAGAACCTGGAAGGTCAACAGGAAAGGTCTGTTTCACCAGACTGAGAGAGTCACACAAGTCAGGCCCCAGCAATCCTGGAGCAGGCCTCAGGGTGACTGAATTAGATGTTTCCAGACCTCTCAGCCCACAGATGCCAAAGACAACTTAGAAGGTCAGCAGGAAAGGTCTGTCACATCTGGGTCAGCATAGTGCAGCACAGCCCTGGCTACAGCAATCTAGGAGCAGGTGTTGGGAGGGACTCAATCAGCAGGGGCAGTGACAGTGGCTACTTCTTGAGTTCTCAGTCTATAGACAGTAAGGGGATGGAATAACTGGTCAGAAGGACATGACGGGGTCTCTTTGCTAGCACTGGGGCAGGACTCTGTTGCTTTGCCCACACTTGCTTCTGGATTGGAGTCCTAGGGTGAGGAGGAGCACTCGCATAGCAGAGCTTGAAGCTACAGTGTGGAGGACACCCACCTCACAGTTCCAAGACAGAAGAGTGCTTGTGGTCACTCACAGACCAGAATATAGGCCAGGCGAGTAGTAAACACCTCCCCTTAGATCATGCCACGTTGAAAGAACTCAAAATTCACAGGTCCCTAGAAATATCTTTGAAAATAGCTGCACAAAAGCCCTGAAACTTTGGACACTACACCCTCCACACTGGAAGGAAAGCCACACCTTAAAGAGGTAAAAAGTCAAGAAATAGGCTGGGAAAATGAACAATTAATGGGGGGGGGGAAATCCTGACTACAGAAACTTACTTTGATGTCAAAGAAGATATGCACATATTATCATCATTATGTGTTCAGTTTCCCAACAACTTTCTAAGGAAAATCAAGGGAAGTGGGTCATGGTTGTTGTGAGCAACTTTGAAGAGCAAGAGGCCTTTAGAGAAGCTTGATCCAGGTGTCATCACGGTGAGATCTCCAGATCAATAATGCAGCAGAGTTCCTCTGTCTCATTGTGTTCAATCTTTCCATGTTCCCTTTGCCTCCTGGGCAGTAGCAGAAAGCCAGCATTGCACCATGTTTGGATTTAAGCCTACAGATGTGCCAGCAACAGCCACCATAAAGTTCCTTGGGGCTGGCACCACTGCCTGCATCACTAACCTCATCACCTTTGCCCTGAACACAGCCAAAGTCTGGCTGCAGATGTGGGGAGAGAGCTAGGGAGCCATCTGAGCTTCCTCTGCCACTGCCCAGTATGGGGTATCAGAGAGAACATTCTCACCATGGTGAAGACTGAGGGCCCTGGCCCCGGCAAACTGTACAATGGGCTGATGGCTGAGTTGCAGAGCCAAATGAGTTTTGTCTCTGTCCTCATTGGTCTCTATGTCTCTGTCAAGCAGTTCTACACCAAGGGATCTGAGCATGCAGGCATTGGGAGCTGCCTCCTGGCAGGCTGCATCACAGGGGCACTGGCAGTGGGCGCAGCCCAACCCACAGATATGGTGAAGGCACATTTCCAGGCCTAGGCTCATGCAGGCAGCAGCCAGAGATACCAGGGCACAATGGATGCCTATGAAGCTGTCACCTGAGCGGAGGGAATTCTGGGTTTATGGAAAGGAACTTTACCCAATATTGCTCACAATGTTATTGTCAAGTGTGCTGAGATGGTGACCTAGGATCTCATCTAAGATGCCCTCCTGAAGGCCCAAGTCATGACTGGTGACCTTCCATGCTACTTCCCATCAGCCTTTGGGGCTGGCTTCTGCACCACCTTCATTGCTTTGCCATGCAGGTGGTGAAGATGAGATACATGAACTCTGCCATGCGCCAGTATGCCAGTGCTGGCCACTGTGCCCTCACTATGCTTTGGAAGGGGGGGACCGCAAGCCTTCTATGAAGGGTTCATGCCTTCCTCTCCTTGGGCTTCTGATGTAGCGATGTTTGTCTCCTATGAGCAATTGAAATGGGGCCTGATGACCACTCACACTTCCTGGGAAGTTCCTTTCTGAGCTCCCTCCTGCTAGCTTTCTGCCTTATACCCCTCCCCTTTGAGTCCAGACCCCATCCTGTCTCTCATCCCCCATTTCCCCCCTATTCCTCTCCTCCCCTGCCTTAGCTTTGAAGGAGCCTCCTACAAACTCCCCCCACCTTAGAGTTAGCACCATTTAAACCTTCTCCAGCCCACTTCTCCTGTCATTGCATTGCATCTTCACTCAATCCTTAAGCTCCTTAGTCCTAATAAAGCCAGACCAGAACCCCCTGCCCCCTCAAAAAGAAGGAAAAATATGAATTAGTCTCAAGCCATGGAAAAGCTCAAAAAGGATTTTTAAAATCAAGGAAGAGAGATAGAGGTAAAAGTAGGAAGATAAATGAGTGATGGGAGAGAATCATGAAAAAATGAATCAACGGCTTGGTAAAGGAGACCCCAAAAAATAGTGAAGAAAAAACACTTTAAAAATAGACTAGATCAAATGGCAAAAGAGGTCCAAAAAGGCAATGAGGAGAAGAATGCTTTAAAAAGCAGAATTAGCCAGATGAAAAAGGAGGTCGAAAAGGATCACAGAAGAAAATATTTCCTTAAAAATTAGAATGGAGCAAATGGAAACTAATGAATTTATGAGAAATCAAGAAATCATAAAATAAACCAAAAGAAGGAAAAAAGTAGAAGACAATGTGGACCTCAAAAATAGATCCAGGAGAGATAACTTTAAAACTATTAGACTACTTGAAAGACGTGATTTAAAAACAGAAAAGCATAGAGATCATCTTTCAAGAAATTATGAAGGAAAACTGCCCTGACATTCTAGAACAAGAGGATAAAATAAAAACCAAAAGAATCCACAAATCACCTCCTGAAAGAGATCCCCAAATGAGAACTAATACCAATCTTATAGCCAAATTGCAGAATTCCCAGGTCAAGGAGAAAATATTGAAAGGATCCAGTAAGAAACAATTCAAGTATTGTGAAGACACAATCAAGACAACACAAGATTTAACAGCTTCTACCTTAAAGGACTGGAGGGCTTGGGATATGATATTGGAGAACAAAGGAGCTAAGATTGCAATCAAGAATCACCTACCCGGCAAAACTGAGTACAATCCATGAGGGTAAAAGAAGGATATTCAACGAGATGCAGGAATTTCATGCATTTTTGAGAAAAGACCAGCCCTGAATAGAAAATTTGACTTTTAAATACAACACTCAAGAAATACGAAGAGGTAAACAAGAAAGAGTAATCATAAGGGACCTACTGAAGTTAAATTGTTTACAATCCTACATGGAAAAATTTGTAACTAATAAGAGCTTTCTCATTATTAGGGTAGTTAGAGGGAGTATGTATAGATAGTGGGCAGAGGTGTGAGTTGCACATGAAGGGATGATATCAAACAAACAAAATTAAGGGGTGAGAAAGAGGAATGTACTGTGAGAAAGAGAAAGGCAGAGGTAGAATGGGGTAAATTATCTCACATAAAAGAGGCAAGAAAAAGCTTTTATACTGTAGAGGGAAAGGGAGGAGGTAAGAGGAACTTCACTCATCAGAATTGGCTCAAAGTGAGTATAACATACACATTCAATTGGCTATAGATATCTAACTTACCCTATAGGAAAGTAGAGGGGAAAGGGGTAGTGGTGATAGAAGGGAGGGCAGATTGGGAGAGGGTAGTCAGAAGCAAAACACTTTTGAGAACGGACAAGGTAAAAGAAGAAAGAAAATAGAATGAGGGAAGTGATATAAGATGGAGGGAAATACAGTTAGTCTTTCACAATGTAACTATTATGGAAGTCTTTGCATAACTCTACATGTATAATCTATATTGAATTGCTTGCCTTCTCAATGAGGAGGGGTGAGGAGGGAGGAAGGGAGAGAATTCAGGAAGTTTTTTAAATGTATGTTAAAATTGTTTTTACAGGTAACTGGGGAAAAATAAAATACTAAATATGAATACTATGAAAAGAAAATGCAGTCAGAAGGAGACTCACATGTGACAAACAAGGAGGCCTATGTTACTGCATCCTGAGTACATGGAAAGGACTGAGGTGAGTGACATCTGGAGAACTAGTGTCTGGAGAGAAATAGGTCTTCTCTGAGTTCACGTGGTGGGTAACTGCTGCCAGAGACCTATTGCCCACAAGGCAGAAATGATGGAGGGAAAAACTTAGGCTTTAGTATAATGCTCTAGCATAGGTTCAGGCCTCAGAGAAAACCTAAACAGTCCTGAGGATTCTGAAAAGGCTTCTTATAGGCAGAACTGCATCAGGGACAGAGAAATCATTCAGTTCATTGCTCTAATTTTACAGGGTCTTCTTAGGCCAAAAAAGTTAATCCCATGGTTCCTTCAATGTCATAAAAGTTGAACAAACTCCATTAATCAGAGTCATACTGCATAAATCCTCTGAGGAAACCAAGTCCCCAAGAAACTCTACAGGTAAAGGAAGACAGGTTACAGATTAAATGACATTCAGAGAATTCACAGATAGCCTGAGGAGGAGGTTGTACATGTAGCCAAGGAGTCTGGGACAGGTGAGATTCTTCCCTCTGGCTTCTTATCTAAAGAATGCTTCAGGCTCTGAGTAAATTTTCACATTCCATGTGGCTGGTTTCAGTCAGGTGAGGTTAATATTGAGTAAAAGTTTAGAGAGGAATAAAAGGAAATTTAAAATCTGCATAACAGTAGAAAGAGCCCAAGTGTGTTAGTATGTTGTTTCTCATTAAACTCTAAGCTCCTTGAGGCAGGGACTGGTTTGGTTTGCTAGGTGGTGGGAGTCTGGTTTTGGTAGGGTTTTTTGTTTTGTTTTTTTGCCTCTCTTTCTATTCCAGCTATTTTATCTCTAAAACTTTTTTCCTTAAGGACCACCCTTAACCCCAAATCAATCTGACTTTCCCTCTTTCAACAAACAATAGGTCCCAGGCCTAGTCCTGATTGGCTCACAGTGAATGTAAATAGCAATTGTTTCTGTTTTGGCCAGAAACAATAAGGGTCTTCCCCTCCCAAATTGATTTTTTTTTTTGACTAGGTAAAAAGGCCATTCTCTGCTCTTTTCTTATTTAGCCTTAATCACTCAATCAGCATTTCTTCAGTTCAACTGAGACTGTTAAAGACCTTAGCTTGAAAAAGGCCAAGGTCCCTCACTGCATCCTAGGCCATCTCCAGTTTTCCCTGATCTACATCTTCCCACTGAATCCAGAAGGCTTCAGGGGAGAGAATGAGGCTGCTGACTTTGCACTGCCCTGACTCACTTAAATCCAATTCACTTCCAAGTCCTACCATCAGCTTCCTGAAGGCATGGTCCTCTTGGAGAACAAGGACAAAAACAACACCCAAAGACACCAGCTTATGGGGTAAGAACTCACTATTTGACAAAAACTGATGGAAAAACTGGAAAGGAGTATGGCAGAAACTAGGCATAGATCAAAATCTCACACCACATACCAAAATGAAGTCAAAATGGGTTCGTGATTTAGATGTAAAGGCTGATACTCTAAGCAAACTGGGAGAGCAAGGAATAATTTGTATGTCAGGTATATGGAGAACAGAAGAATTAGTGACCAAACAGGAGATAGAGAACATTATGAAGTGTAAAATGGATACCTTTGATTAAATTAAATTGAAAAGTTTTTGCACAAACAAAGCCAATGCAACCAAGATTACAGGGGAAGTACAAGAGTGGGAAAGAATTTTTACAACCAGTCTGATAAGGGTCTCATTTCTAAAATATAGAAAATTAAGTCAAATTTATAAGAATACAAATCATTCCCCAATTGATAAATGGTCAAAGGATATGAATAGGCAGTTCTCAGATGAAGAAATTTAAGCCATCTACTCATACCAAAAAAATGCTCTCAATCGTTATTGATTAGAGAAGTGCAAATCAAAACAACTCTGAGGTACCACATCACACCTATCAGATTGGCCAATGTGACAAAACAGAAAATGATGAATGTTGCAGAAGACGTGGGAAAATTGGAACACTAATGCATTGTTGGTGGAGTTGTGAACTGATCCAACTATTTTGGAGAGCAATTTGGAACTATGCCCAAAAGGCTATAAAAATGTGCATACCCTTTAACCCAGCAATAGCACTTCTAGGGCTGTATCCCAAAGAGATCATACAAATGGAAAAAGGACCCACATGTATAAAAATATTTATAGCAGCTCTTTTTGTGGTGGCAAAGAATTGGAAATTCAGAGGATGCCCATCAATTAGGAAATGTCTGAACAAGTTGTGGTATATGAATTAATGGAATACTATTATGCTATAAGAAATGATGAGCAGACAGACTTCAGAAAAACCTAGAAAGACTTTTGTGGTCTAAGGCTGAGTGAAGTAAGCAGAACCAGGAGAACATTGTACGCAGTAACAGCCACGTTGTGTGATGACTAATATGATAGACTTACCTTTTCACAGCAATGCAAGGATCTAAGACATCTCCAAAAATCTCATGATGGAAAATGCTATCCACATCCAAAGAAAGAACTATGGAGTTTGAATGCAGATTGAAGCATAGTATTTGCCGTTTTTTTTTTCCTTCTGTTTTGCTTTGTTTCTTCTTTCTTGTGGTTCGTCCTATTGGTTCTAATTCTTCCTTATAACATCACTAATGCAAAAATATATTTAATAGAAATGTATATGTAGAGCCTATGTCACACTGTCTACTGAATTGGAGAGGGAGGGGGTAGAAAAATTTTAAACTAAAAGCTTATGGAAGTGAATGTTGATATATCAAAATAAATTAATAAAAAAAAAACAGAAAAAGCAATACTGATAACATCAAACTCAAGAAGGAAAAAATGTGAATACAAGGACATAAAAGAATAGCAGTATAAGGATACTACAATTGTTGAAGAAATAGTAAAATTTAAAATAATAATAGCTAATATTCATAGAGTACCTACTACATTCCAAGTAATTTACAAATATTATCTTATTTGATCTTCAGAACCCTGGGAAACGATGTTATTATCTTCATTTTACAGATAAAGAAACTGAGGCAAATAGAGGAATTGTGACTTGCCTACTGTCACCCAGGCAGAAAGTGTCTGTGCCTGGATTTCAACTCAACTCTTTCTGACTCCAGACATAGTGCATTGTGCCACCCGGCTGCCTCATGGTGGAAGATAACTTTGCACCAGAGTGGATGCTTCAAATAGAGGAGAGAGGAGGATAACAGACTTTTCAGACAGTGTTCCAGCGAGTCATCTGGGAACAATATGGATAGAAGAATAGGTGGGCTGAGGAATGGGGATCAGGACACTCCAATGACCAATTACTAGTGTTGATCTCACTCTGTTCCCCACCTACTTTGTGTTGGGGCAGGAGCAAGTAGGAAAAATCAGAGCATATCGTGGAGAAAATATAATTATTTCACCTTTTGGAACGTGGCCCCTAAATTCATTCCCCTGTGTGCCCTTTGACCCCATAACAACCACTAGACCTATAAACTAAAGAGTTAAATGACCCATATATACAAGATGAAATTATTCTGGATGTTTGTTGTTGCTGCAAAGATCTGGAAAGATGGTGCCTGTATACTGGGAGTTGATGGAAGAAATGATAGTCTAAGAATATAATGGAAGATCATGTTTGTTTTATGGAATCTATAATTTTGGCTAAGGAAGAACATGGGCATCCTGAGTCAGCAGGGGAGGGGGACTGCTCTGAGAACATCAAGTGTCCTCCATTTAGTCTGTCTTTGAGTATATTTTCTAGTGAGCTCCCCTGTATGGACCCATGCACACCCGCCCTCTTGAGAGAACTAAACATGCATACGCAGCCTACCTCTGTTTGTCTTTCTTAGAACAGACTCAGTAAAGGTTAACACTCCTTACCAAAGGTGTGTTCGAGAGCAGACTGGGGTTCCCTTTACAACAGATTTGAGCAGGAACAAACAGAACTAGGCTGTACTGCATTATAACGTGCTTATTCATTTATTCTTATTACACCAGAGAGTCGTGCATGCACGGGAGTCACAAAATAATTCTGAACACTGAGGTAAGGAAGCTGGAGGAGACCCTTTATACACTTAGAGCAGTCCCAACTCAGGATGCCTCTGCCAACCATCATTGTAGTCTATGTATGAGTTTGGCCATAATGGGAGAAAGGAATTTCTTAGTAAGATAGATTGTAAGTACAATAAGATAAACGTCAAAATGGTGATAGAAATTATAGTTCCAAGATATCTTCATTAACATAACACAACACAACACTATGCAACATAACAATGAGGTAGAGAGGAGTGCTTGAGGCAGATGGAGCAAGCAGGCTGCAGGCTGAGAGATGTGAGAGAAGATGCAGGATGTGGCCAGCCAGAAGAGTGACCCAAGAAAATGATGCAGTGAAGCCCCTCTCTGGACTTACCTGTGTGCTTCCACAAAGCACCCCCTCCCCTTTCCTATTCTCCTTGCTTTTCTGTATCTGACATCCGTGATATCCCCTTTTCCCATTCTCTTCTCCTACTTCCCCCTATGCTGGATAACATAACAATAACAAAAGTCCCCTTACACAAGATAGTGTCCAGTTCAAGGCACCTTGTCCTTGGCATTCATAAACAGAAGAATGACCCTGATCAGCTTCATCTGAGCCTTGTAGTTGCTGACACACACAAGAAAGGGCATGTTGGGTTCACTCAGAAAGCAGAGCAAAGCATGTCTGTTATGCCAGAGCACGCAAAGCATTATGGTAGGAGAAGCGCAGAGTGGGATAAAATGTCTTTGTCCTGTTTGGCCAATGTAGGATTTAGACCTTTTTCGGGTGAGGGGGTCCCAAAATGGTTTGGGGAATCCCCTGGCTGGTTCACACTTCTTTTCTAAGGGTACAATTGCATGCCCCTCTAGAAATCATTGTTTCAAATTAAGAGCATGATTTATACATTGGTTTTCCCCAAATCTGCAATTGAGAAAAATCTGAAACATAATAACAACATGAACACTGTTACAATGTTAATACATGAAACAAAATTGCCAGTCAGATAACATCAATTCAGTTGATTATCTTAGATATTGTAGAAAATGATTCTTCTTGGTAATCTATATCTTGGAGACTCAGAGCTCCACCCTGCAAGCCTTCTGCTTCAAAGTTCTTCACAAGGCCCTCAATGATAATGTGATTGTCTTGTCTTGGTCAAGCCCTACCCAAATCTGAATTGGTTTTATCCTTCTCAGGCTCCAGTGGAGACAAATCCTCCTACCTAGATAGAAGGAGGCTAGGAATGGTCTGGAAGGATAACAGGTTGATAGGAAGTTGAAAGAGTATATAATGCTACACCCCAAAATCCTAAACCAAGTCAGTTTGGACTAAACTCCCATACAACACATGTCAAGCTAGTTTGAGAGGAATTAACCAGAAGACATGCGTACCCCAATTTGGTTGTCTCTTTTTTAGAACAGGATGTTTCAATTTGAGGTTCATTGGGTTCAAGGTTCACAATATAAAAACCACTTCATTTATCTGTTTGACCCTATAGACTGATTGCATTCAGACAGTAGAACAGGGTAATTTTGATATAAACTGATATAATTCTGATATAAAGGATATAAACATGCAGCTCTGATGCACAGAAAGATTGGTCCTGCATTTGAAAGCCTTTCCACACTGATTACATTCATAAGGTTTTCTGCCAATGTGATTTCTCCCATGTGTAATGAAGGTTGAGTGTTCACAAAAAGATTTACCACATTCATGACACTCATGTAGTTTCACACCAGGATTAATATTTTGATGGAAAATGAGGGATGACTGTTGACTCAGCACTTTCCCACAGTGAAGATAATCATAACTTATTTCTCCTCTGCGAATTCGGTGAAATGCAGCACAGATTTGTCTCCAAGTGAAGTCACAAGGACCATCCCTCATGAAACTTTCCTCCTGAGTTTCTTTCACAGAAATGCTTAGCTTTGCAGTAGTCTCTTTCATTTCAGGTGTAATCTCTCCTTGTGTAAGAAACAGTAAGACACACAGAAAGACACATGTAGACAAATATATAATTATAATCCCTTCCCTGCATTGTCAGAAAGTAAATGACTGAGAAAGCTGGATCTACATCCTACCGCCCCAGTCTAAGAGAAAAGTCTGTAAAGTTCAATGGACAGAATCAGTCATTTGAGAATGCCATTAGTTCACATCTGAGGGATGCTTCATTCACACAGAATCATATTGGATCCTCACAAAACCCTGTGACACTGGCAGGCCCAACATTATCATTACACTTACAACTCAGGCCATGGCTCAGAATGGCTGGGTGACTTGCCTAACATCTGTGCAGCTGAGGCTAGAACTTTAAACCTGAAAGTGTGTATGCTCTGTCCATGGTACTAGATGGCCATTTTCTATTGCACTTTCTTATGTTTTTGGTTTTTTTGTTATTGTTCAGAAAAGTTCTTTTATTATTGTATGTTGACTTATTCTCTGCCTCTCTTCAGGTCTTCCTATTCCCTGAGACAGAACAGTATTCAAATTAGGCCAATTAATAACCCCACAATGGAGCTATAAGTTTAAGTGAAAAGAAGACTCAATCACTGTGGCAAACTTCATTGTAGACTGATTTTAAGAAATTGCTACAGCCACTGCCAACTTTGAGCAACCCTCACCCTGGTCAGTCAGCAGCCATCAACATTTGTCTAGAGCCACCATCAGTAACAAGATTAGAATTCACTGAAGGCTCAGATGAGAGATAGCTTTTATTTGCAATGAAATATTTTTAAGTTTCAGTATATACATTTTCATTATTATTATTTTTTGGCAACTGGTGTTAAGTGACTTGCACAAAGTCACACAGCTAGTAAGTGTCAAGTGTTTGGCCTCAGGCCAGATTTGAACTCAGGTCCTCCTAACTTCAGGGCCAGTGCTCTATCCACTGTGCCACCTAGAACCTCCAGTATATACATTTTAGACACCAGTACTGCTACCATAATAGACAAGAGTATACAGTAAACATAACTTTTATATACACTGAGACACTAAAAAATTCATGTGACTTAATTGATTGCAGTATTCACTTTACTGTGGTGCTCTAGAACAGAACCCACAATGTCTCTGAGGCGTGCCTGAAATTTTTCTCATTGTTGTTTTGACTTTGACTCTTTCCTCCCCAATTTGACTCTCCTCCTTAAACTGTTACTAGCATCACTGCTTGAGATCCCTCATATCCCACTGAACTACATATCTCTCCATTCCCAAACTGTCTCTTTTCCCTGGATCAGCTAAGAGCCAGGGTCCTGACTTGTTGCTTGTTTTCAACCACCTCCATGTTTGTAGGCCATGTTGGCAACTCCTTTTCAGCAGGGACTGGCTTTTCCCTTCCTAAAGCTCAATGAGGTGCCTAGAAAACAGGAGGTATTCATGGACTCTTACTGAATAATGACTGGGCCCAGACAGGAGGCCCCAGGCTCGACCTCACTCCCTGTATTCTGCTTCTGTTGTAGTTACCAAATCCAGGTTCTGGTTTCAGCCCTGTTTCTGCCTTTTTCCTGCACTTTATCTCCTATATTGAGTGGCCTTTTTGTCTAGTTCTAACCATGTTGTAACCTGACCAGATCCACAGTGAAGATCACAGAGACTTCTTTCTAGGCTCCTGAAGCATCTTATACTGTGGGAAACCTGGGAGTTTCCACTTGCCACTACCCTAAACTGAGAGTGACTGTCTACTCAATGATTCTCCAAGAATTGGCCAAAGATTGAGCCTCAGAGACCAAGAGCTGGACACAGGTGGAAGGTTTATGTAAAGAATAGCCTACGGTCAACTCTACTTCTTGACTACTTAGATACTCAGACCCAGGCTTTCTGGGTCCACTTCACATTAAGACTACATAATTTCACTGTGGCAAGGCCATCCTTCGACATCTCCCTAACTGACTCTCTTGGGACAGCTACACGATGCAGTGGATAGCATAGTGGTCAGGAAGACTCAAGTTCAAATCCAGCCACAGACAGTTACTCCCTGTGTGACCCTGGGCAACTCACTCAGGCCTGCTGGCCTCAGTTAACTCATGCACAAAATGAGCCTGAAAAGGAAATGGCAAACCACTCCAGTATCTTTACCAAGAAAAACCCAAACTGGGTCATGAAGTATCAGAAACAACTGAAATGACTGAACAATCACATGACTGACTCCCAGTTTCTTTCACCACAGCAGCTTTTCCACTTCTTTTTATTTTTCCCCAGCCCTCCTGTATTTCTTGCTCCCACTCTCTACACCCAATACTCACCTCCTCAGCAGTGAAATTTGCCTTGTATTTCACTGAAAGAACTGGATACTTAACAAGAGCTATCTTATCTTTATCTCCTGTAAATCA